GCAAGAGAAGCTAGGGATTCTTATAGAGGAAAACCTGCCTTGGATGAGAAGATGGGAAGATGTCAGGGCAAGGCTAGGGGGTGGTAGAACAGAGTTTTGCTCATATCTAGGCACATCATTATTCCGTTGTTGAACCCATTTGTCCAGGGCAGAGGGACCAGCCTGTTTGAATCTCATTATCTCATTGACCAGTCTATTTGAATCTCATGGTCTCCAGAAAGGCTTCAGCTACTCTCATCAGAGGCAGCTGTTTGTTAACCTGACAACTGAGTGGCCTGTTGTCTTAAAACAGATATCATGCAAGATGTAACAGAGAGTCTCTCAAGAATTATCAAAACAGACTCCTGAATACTTACAATAGCAGAAATGATACTTCCAAAAAAACCCTTAAAAGTATTGCCAATGATTATGAAGTCTTGGGAAAGAAATTGAAGATCTTAGGAGTTACAGGTTCTCTTTTTCCTCACTTCTGCATTCTAAAGACAAGAATTGCAGAAGAGAAAAATAAATGTGGGAAGAAAATAGCATGTATTTGAACTTATGTATCAGGGCCTAAGGTAAAGGCTTAACAGATTGCTAGCCATAGATGAAGTACACACAGCTAGCAAAGGTTGGTAAGAATATTTCCCAGATGCCTTGCACATCTAATCAGGGGTACTCAAAGAACTTTAAGGATGGGGTAGCAAGAAGGCAGCCTGTGTATATTCTCCGAGTTAGACACAAACAAATAAAAAGGAATATAGTGGCTGGACAGTGACAGATTCACAAGAGACAAATCCAAGAAAGGAGATAATAGTAAAACTTAGGGTTTCAGGTTTCTTTTCACAAATAACCAAAAGTTCCCCAACAAACAAGAGGATCTAGAGTTTCAAACCCAAAGGGAAAAATTTGGCCTCAAGGTTTCACTGAGACTTGGTTGTTGGAACTTATGATGAGTAGGGAGTAGGTAAAGGGATGGGGTAGAGTGTGGCACTGTTTTATGAGAAAGTATTCTTATGAGGAAATCCAGAAATCAGAAAGGGTGAGGCATCACAGAATACTTGAATAAAGGTCAGAGGAGGGAGACATAAAAGTAGTTTTCTCATTCAAGTGTACTACAAACTACCTGGACAAAAAAAAGGAGGAAATAGATGAGAAGTCCAAGAAACAGATCACAAATCTGGTGCAGAGCCATGAAATAGAAGTGATGGCGAACTTCTTTCATCTAGACATGTGGGTACTGCTTTCTTCCCTCCTTTTCCCTCCCCCTTTTTATACCTTGTGGCTCCCCATCTCTGTGCCAAAAGCAGAATAGCCAATAACTTAATTATTTGGTTTAGTAATAATTCTCTCATCTTTCAAAAGATGGAGAAATGATCAAAGGGAAATTCTTTTCTGGATCTGATTCTCACAGGAAGGAGTTGGTTTCCAGGGTGGCTATAATGGAAACCCTGAAGAGAAGAGAGTATTGCATCCTGGAGTTAATGATGAAGAAGAAATCTAGGCAGAGATTGACATGCACCCTAGACTTTGGGAATGGATATGTCAGAAAGATCAGAGGAAAGATAAATAGGGTCCTATAGGATAAAATGATTCAGAGGACGTTAGCCTTCAAGAGATGCTCAGAAAGAAAATCCTGTTGACACAAAAGGAAATCGTCCAATGAAGAAGAAATTGATATTTTCAGAAGAGATGAATGTATGTGGACAGGGACCTTACTAACCAATCTCGATTTTAAAAAGAAATGTATAGAAGATGGAAGCAAGGCCAGGCAACAACAGATAAGAGTGGCATGGTCCTGTAATAATAGTGAGAGGAATGCTAAACTCAGAATGAGCCAAGGCTGGCTGGCAAGGGAGGAGAAGAATGACCTGTACAAAATTAGAAATGACAAAACAAACGTTACTAACATAATAAGTACCCCTAAGGTAAGTAAGAAAAAAAAGTAATAGTAGTGATAGAAAAGCTCTTAGTTGACTTGGCCCAAATGCATTATATCCTTGGGTCCTGAAAGAACTGGCAAATGCAATTGCTGAACCACTGCTTGAATCTCTGCTTGGTCCTATGTTGTTTAACGTTTTTATCAGTGATTTGGATAAAATCAAACGTTGTAATCATCAGATTTGCAGATGATAGAAAGCTAAGAAAAATAGCAAGTGTGCTGGATATTATTAAGGATCTAGAAGAATCTTGATTAATGCATTGGACTGACTCTAATAAGATAAAATTCAGTGATGGTAAATAGAAACTCTTGCACTTCAGTATAAAAAAAATCAACTTTACAAATATAAGATTAAAGAGAGATTCATGTACAACAGTTCTGAAAAAGATATTTTACTTAACTTCAGACTCATTATGAATCAGCATTGTGAAATGACTGTCCAAAAAGCTAATATGATCTTAGGCTGCTCCAAGAAGAGCAGGGCCTCAGATAATAAAAAGGTCATGCCACTGTCATGTCCTTATCAAACTTCATCTGGAGTGTTGTACTTGATTTTAGACACCATGGTTTAAGAAATGACCATGGAGAGCAACCAGGATGATGAACTGCCTTGAATCCATGTCTTAAAGGAATGATTGGAAGAAACTGGGCGTGGTTAGGTTGGAGAAGAAAAGAGACATGGTTTGATTATGTTCTTTGATTTTTTTGGTACCATCATTTCAGTTGTGTCTGACTTATCAAGATCCCATTGGTGTTTTTATTTGCAAAGATACTGGAATTCCTTCTCCAGCTCATTTTACACATGAGGAAACTGAGGCAAATAAGGTTAAATGACTTGCCCAGGGTCACACAGCTAGTTAGTATCTGAGGTCACATCTGAACTCAGATCTTACTGATTCAGGCTTAGCGCTTTATCTACTGTGCCGTCTAGTGGCCTCTAGGAGACATAGTAACTGTCTTCAAGTATTTGGAGTGTTGTCATCTGGAAGAGATATGAAACTTGTTTTGTTTGGCTGCAGAAGGCAGAACCAAAAGTAGCGGGAAGTGGCACAGAAGTCAATTTAGGTTCATTGTCAGGAAAAAGTTTTTCTAAAGTTAGAGTAAGGGATAGGGTATTATCTCTTTTCTGGAGATCTTCAAGCAAAGATTGGACAGCATTTTGTCTCCCATGTTATGTGGTGATTTCTTTCATCTGTGGGTTAGACTAGATGACCACTCTGCCATCCCTTCCAACTCTCAAATTCTGTGATTCTGTGATTACTACATTTACCCTTTCCCATTATTTACTTGAGGTTTTTTTTATCTTTTGTTCTCCCAAATCATTTGTAGTTTGATAAGCATAGCACCTATTTCTATATCGTTGAACCTGTGGGTCGAAAAAAAAGCCCTACACTTTAAAAACATTTCTCTAGGATGGAGGTTCTTACCTGGGCCTAGGATCAAGTCCAGAACATCTGTGAACTTGGATGGGGAAAAAAAAATTATATCTCTAATGAACCCCTAACCTGAAATTTAGCATTTCCTTCTATTAAGAAGGAGGGCGAAACCATATAATAGTGTATTAGCAGTACCTGTAACTTTGTCATTAAGGGAGATCATAGTGAATTTCATATCGTATTACAGTTATTGCACATATCTTGAAATACAGTTTGCAGTCATCACTACCCTGAAATTACTATAGTTATTAAACCTTTCTTTAGATTGAATATGATTATAGAAAGGCCTCAAAGGATCCTTAAAAACATGCAGCATAACTTTTAGTACTGAATGGATTTTTAAAAATTCTTTGAAAATTTCTTATCTATAATGATAGTGTTTGGAAACTCTTTCAAACTTTAAAATGCTACATAAATATCTGGTAATAATAATAATATTATTAGTAGCAGCAACGTTTATAATAAATAACAACAATAAATTAGTGATCAGGATATTTAACTGGAATATTCCATTGCTTGTTTGGTTTGGATGCAGAATGGCGGGTTTGAACAACATTAGTTGAGATATGGGAAGGTCTGAGTTTGTAGTCCTAATTCTTAGACTGATTTATTGAGTGCCCTTGGGAAATCCACATTGTCTTGTGCCTCGGTTTTCTAACATGTTAGACAGATATAATATGTTCCCTAGTCCAATCATAGAGTTGACAGTGAAGTGATAGATAAAAACACTGTGAAAAATATAAAGCAACATACAAATTAGAAGTAGTATTGTAACAGTTCCACATTGTGGTAAGTACCGAGTTTTGAAAGTGTTGTAAGATAATATAATTGGGAGGCTACTTTTCCCCAGATGGAAAAATTGTAAAATCATGTGACAAAGATCCAGAACAGTGTAAAAAAGTTTTTATATTTAAGTTTATCTCCTTTTTAAAAATATACAGTTGACCTCAAAAGTTTGACTCATTTTCATTTTATGGAAGTTAACTGTGACTTGTAGATGTTAATGACTCTTAAATGTTGGATAAAACATATTACTTTCTGGATGTATCAAGTTTTTGTTTTGTTACCTAATGTTTCTAAAGAAAAAGCCATTTTCATAATACTTTTGACTATAAAAATTTTTGATATCTGTATTATATTTCATTTATACAAGCCAATATTTTAAAAATTTAGCTTTTATAAGTTAACACAATACCAAAATAAATATTTCATACCAGGTCTTTGTTACAATTTATATCTTGCCGAGGAACTAGAAGACAACACCTTGTGAGGGAATGAAGAAACGTGAGAGGTCTAGGCCTGAGTTTTTCTTGTCTCTAAAGCTCAGTTATTGGTTGTTTTAAAACATGTCTGCTTGTTAATGAGATGAGTGAACACTGAGTTGTTTCATATGTTTGCTATAGCTAGAAGAACTATCAGAGATTTAGTAAAGGAACTCCTAAGGAAGGCTTAGTAGACTTGTTCACAGAAATAAACCTCTGCTGAAGTTATATAGAACGAATTAGATGTTTGGTCCTTTAATGTAATCCTTCTCCCCCATCCCCATTAATTTCTTACTGCAGGTGCATATTTACTTCATTTACAAAGTGAAATCTGCATATTGTTTTACTATATTAAAAATGTTTCATAAAATCTCCTTTTAGGAACCAGCCAAGGTTTCAGAGTTAAACCCTAATGCTAAAGTATGGGGGAATCATATGTTACACTTGGAAGCAAGTGGTACAACTGATGGTAATGTGAGCAAAGCCTGGGAAGAAATAGCGGACCACCCTCCAGATGCCTGCAAAGAAGGTATGTTATAAATTTGAAAGCTCTTCTAGCTAAGGTAATGGTTTATTATTTTTTACAGAGAGTATTAGTTTATCAAACATGAAGACTATACTATTATCAATTTTTAGTAATTTACACACTGAGAACCTATGTTACAGTTTAACAAAAATAAAAAAGCCTAAGGAAACTTTTTTTTGAGAGAATTTTTTTTCTTTTTTCCTTTTGGGGTACAATTTCCAATTGCAGGATTGGATGCCTGCAGTAATGGCGACACATCATATCCTAATGCAGTGTTAGCAGACCTGCAAGAGCCAATTTCATTGTCAGACCAAACAGATATGAACACTTTGGTTCTGGACCATTCAGAATATGAATCTGTGCCTGAAAACCCCCAGACAGGTAAGGCTGATGTATTTGATACATAGATTAAGGTGTTTTCATAGATGAATTATAACATTAATCTGCCAAATTGAGGGCAGAGGGGTTTATCCTGCAGTGAGGCAGCACCAGTAGACTGAAAATCAGCAAACTTGGTGTCTAGTACTGGCTTGACCATTAATTTGTTTTGAGAAATTGGCCAAGCTGCTCTCTACCCCAACTATTAAGTAGAGGTGTAGACTAACTGATTCCTAAGGCTTCTTAAAACTAACGTTCTATGATTTACTTCATAACGTTTGATTATATTTTGATATGATTCCTCCATAAATATATTTTTCAGTTTTAGCAGCTGTAGTGAAAAACCATTGTAATAATACACTTGTTTTGTCAGAATTCAGTATTTGAGGATTTCCTGCATGCAAAACACTATGCTAGAAGGTGTTTTGGTAGACTATGAAAAGAAAAAGGTTTTTGCACAAACATGTGAAAAATGAAATAACAATTCTAAATGTTCAATTTAAGATATTCATGATCTCATTGATGAAGTTTCTCCCTCCAGTGGTGCAGATTAAAACTCATCTGTGTCTTTTCATTCAGTACATTTCTTATCTATCCTCTCATAAAGAATATGCCCAGTTCTGGAGGTTTTCTACTGAATCTCTTAACTTACATCAACAACACTGTAGACCTTGGGCTGATTACCTTGCTCTCATTAACTGGCCTACTTTCCAGGTCAGTTCTTGTCATGTCACTTTTATGTGACTTCTTGCATACAAGTAATTGTTGGTAGTATGTTATAACATAGTAACATCCACCATTCGTCTTTTGTGTAGTCTTCAGTTTTATTCTGAAATTGTACTGTTCTGTGATTCTTAGCCTTGCCATCAGCAGAAAAATAGCCAAGTATCTATGGTTTTATCATCATAGAGAAATCTCCATATGGGAACCCTCTCCATCAGCACAGATTGCAATCTGTCTACCTGTGACTTAGATAATTGCCTGAGGTACTTAAGAGGTTAAGTGACCTGTTCACAATTACAGAGCTAGCATGTATAAGAAACTGGACTCAGTCTTTCCTGACATTAAGCCACGTTATATTCTTTGTAAGAGAGGAAGAGGCTAGGAAATTCATGTTATATCAGTGTGGGCGAAGAAAGGAACATTCAATAAGATGTTTTGATTTGCATGAAGGAAGCAAGGAAGAATGAGTCTAGGGAGTAGAAGTGGCACAGTTTTTGAAAGAGACCTTGAATGCCAGGCAATGAAATGGCATTTGTATTTGTCACAAAGCTAATACAGAACCATTAGAAGTGTTTAAGGAGAGGGGAAGGACAATAAAAATTGTTTTGTCTTGGTTTAGCAAAAGAGCACTAGAGTGGGAAACAAAAGTTTCAGTCCTGATTTTGCTATCTGCTAACTGTGACAAATTTCTAAATCTCTTCTTAAATTTATTTGCATGTCTGGAAAATGAGAGTAATAATGCTTTGCTTGCCTATTTCTTAGAGTTACCATAAAGAAAAATTCTTTGTAAACCTTAAAGTGCTACATGAAAAGGAGCTGTTAATTTTAGTAAGTTAAATTTGGTAGTAAATAAGATAGATTGAAATAGCATAGAGAGAAAAACTGGGCAAGGAGTTGAACAAATTATGAGGAGTTACACTACCACAAGTGTAAAATAATAAGAGTTATAATTAGGATGATGGCAATAGGAATGGAAATTCAGTGGTTTAAAAAGTCACTGTGAATTTTAAGAATTTGGTGACTTACTCGCATCATGTATGCAAGTACTTTAGGTCAATAGTTACATTCTTAGGGGAAATTACTTTATGTTTTCATTTTGTTGTAATGGTGAAAAAATGAATTTTCCAGGATAGTTAGTTCCGTATCACAGTTAAAATAGTGATTCTCCCGAGGTGGGAATTATCAAGATGGTGGTTTGTCTCAAATATTAGAGTGTTTTGTTTTTAAGCTGGGAGACTTAAATTACCTAGTCTAACACTTTCATCTTATAAGCGAGGAATCTGAGGTCCAAGAAGAATAAAGTAACTTCTCTAAAAATAGCTTTATTTATGCTTCAGTTGCGCTTATTTAATAAAGATGTTGAATTAGAATTTTATATAACCAATTAGAAACAGTGTGTACTTTTTGTAAAATTAAGCAAGGAAATACAATGAGAATTCCAGATGTTTCCATCGTAGTGAGCCTAATTCAAATTAATCAACTTCTTATTAAGCACTAACTGTTTGTGTGGCTGTGTCCTAGGCTCTGGCGACACAGAAATGAAATTAGCCCTGACTTGTTTAGTCTTGTTATTCCCTGGCATTTAAAAACATTGGTAACTTGGCTGTCACATTATTGACCTTACTGACCTCATGCTCTCTGGTCCAGTCAATTAAACTTTCTTAATGCTCCTCATAGAGGACATTGTGCTGACTCTACCTCTTAGAATCCTATGTTAATTTCAGAAGCCATCACAAGCTCCACTTTCTGTGTGAAGCCTTTCTATTTTCTCTTTTACCCTTTCTCTTCTAAATTACCCTGGCATGTATGTTGGAGGGTAGTGTGTATTTTGTATATACCTACATTTATACGTGTGGTCTCTACCCGAGAATGTAACCTCTTGGGAGACTAAGGGCTGTTTCTCTTTGCTTTGTACCCAGGGCAAAATAGGCATTTAACAAATATTGTTAAGTCTTGGTTTAAACTTTCCATTTCTTCTTTTGTGATCTCTAGTGGGCTTCCTCTTCTTCCCATCCTCTTGACTCCTCTATGCTTTTTGATACTGTTTACCATTACCTTTTCCTATATGTTTTCTGTAGGTTTTTTGTGACCTTAATATCTTTTGGTTCTTCTGACCTGATTGACCATTCATTTTCAGTTTCCTTCCCAAGATGTTCACCTATACACCCTTTGCATGCAGAACCCCAAGGTTCTGTCCAGAGCCTTCTGTCTGTATTGGGGGGGGGAAGGCAATCTCATCAGCTGGCATATGTTCATTTATCTCTCTGGGCATGATTGACAAATCCTAATTGTTATGGACAGTTTGCACAGGTCCCAAATGAAACAAATGTTTCAAATGGAACAAATGCTTCAAATCCATCCCTCTGCCTAACTTTGCTATTTCTGTTGAGTATCTTACCATCTTTCTAAATATCCAAGTTCACAACTTTGGTCATTCCTCATGCCTTAGTTTATATACCCAGTTGCAAACTTCTGTTGATTGTACCTCCACAGCAGCTCTCTCATTCATTCCTTTCTCTTCAGTCACATCCACGCCGTAATTCAAGCCTCTCATCAGGGCTATTGTAACTGCCTTCTTATTGATTTGATCTCCTACACTTTCCTCTTGCTTTTCACATGATTATATCAGTATTCATATCATATCATATCATATCAGTTAGACACAGGTCTAACTGTGTGATAAGCCTGCTCAAGAAGCTTCAGTGGCTCCCTATTGCCTCAAGCACAAAATACAGAAACTTTCTTTTTGGTATTTAAGGCTGGAATTTGACTCGTTTATATTTTTTGACTGCTGCCTATACTCTAGTTCTAGGACTCTGTTCAAGGGGGTTTTAAATTACTATAAGGACTTTGTTGCAACACAGTTTGGCTTTTGAAAGTTTCTAGTGTAGGTGCCAAATATTGTATTACAGAAATATTCTAAGGTATTAGCTTCATTAGTTAAGGAATTCACACTTCACTACTCTTACCTCCTCTGTAGTCATAGTTGCCCTCAAAATGGGTGGAGGTTTTGGGGTTTTTGTTGTTGTTGTTGTTGTTTTTCCAGGATAGGATTTTTTTAAAAAAAGATATGTGGTTTCTCAGTCTTATGATAGTAAGGTATTTTCGCAACATAAGATTCTGTGATTTTGATTTTTGTTAATAAAGTTCCTATTGACAGCTAGCTGAACATCTTAGTTTATGTTGAGAAGAATGGAATAAGAATAGCCAAAAGAGCAGGCCGGGGGCAAAAGGCCTGATTGGCCCAAGGAATAGCATAACAATATTCGTGGCCACATAGAGTGATGACACTGGATACTCTGCTCACCTGTTTAAACTTTGTCTAGGCCCAGTCCTAGATGTAAATCTTAGCAGTCTTTTAGGAGTTCAATTGTATGTGTGCAAAAGAAGCAAATACGAGTAAATTCTGACAAAATAGAAGAGTGACGATAGGTATCTAAGCTCAGACCTCCACTCCCATGTTAAAAAAACAGGCTGAAAACAAGAAGACAAGGATGAAAAGATACTTAAAAGATAGTCACTAAATAAGAAAAGCAGTAGAGGAGGATTATGCTACCACATCAGTACTCCTCTTTACACTCCCTGGTCCAGACTCTACTGAACAGTGTCATCTATATTGTAGTTATCAGCTTTGCAGTAGATCTACCACCAAGTCTTATCAGTCACTTCATCTTTGCTTTTAAGTTTTCTCTTTTTGCCTTCCTCTCTAGCACATTCTCTTCCCTTGAATTCCCTTGGTAGGTTGATTATTAAATTAAGCGAACATCTCCAACTTTCAATCTTAGAGCTCTAATGCTGATACCCTGAGATGGTAAGTGATTTGTTCAGGGTCATGTAATCCAATGTAGGTCAGAGGTATAACTTAACCCTGGATGTTTCTGAATCTGAGGCTGGCTTTACTCATTCATTATACAATGAATTCACTCATTTGAGGTAAGCTTAATATATGGGGAAAAACTTGGACAGACTCTACTAGGAAAAACTACTGTGAAGTAAAAGATTCCAGGATAAAATTCCAAAAGGAGATAAAATTCTCTAATACCTTCCACTGAAACACCAGAAAAGAGAATAGAATTGGATACAAATACCCAGAGAATGGTTGGAATCCCTATGGAAATGATAAGGAGTAAAATTAGATTTCTTAATTTAAAAACTCCAAGAAGACTTGACGGCTTAGAACTGAAGCTGGAATTTAACAAAGCATTCAACATAGTGGGATAAAAAGAATGAAGGAAATAACTAAAAAGTCTCATGATGCAATAAGAAGTATTACAGGAAAA